CCCGGCCGCCTCCAGCTGGAAGCCCGTGGACAGGACGGAGGCCAGCAGCGCTGCGGCGGAGGGCGGCACGTCGACCTGGGTCACGCTGGGTCACGTCGCATGCCAGGGCTGCGCGCAGGCTCCACAGGGCGCCATCCGGGTAGTGTCGCCCGCACAACATGTGGAGAGCGGCGAGGCTGGTCGTGGTGCGGCTGCGGTCGGCACATCTGATCCCACCCCCATCCCCGCCCCTCCGTTCCACCACACGGCCACGCGGCACCGCATCCAAGTGCTGATACCGGTAAGCGACGTACCGTAACCCCGTGGGCGTCAAGAGCAGTGGCTGCCGTGTCGTCTGTTCCAGTCTGGTCTAGCGCCTGCACCAGACAGCGGAAACCCTACCTCCAGTGGCTGCATCATACTCTCAGCATTCGCCCACGACAGCAGGAATACCGGCCTTGAGGCCTTGATTCTCTGTAAGGTATCCAACAGCGGGGCACCGCACTCGAGACTCCGAGCCTCCGTAAGGTACCCGACAGCCGAGTACGGTGTCTCACACGTCATGCGACAGGACACCACTCACCCGGCGTCTGTGCGGACCAGCGGGCCGCTGGCATACCTTCGGTGGCCGAGCGGGAGGCGGCGGAAGCGCTGCCGTGCTCGATGGACGCGTACATCTCGGCCGCTTCTGGCGTCTCCACGGCGAAGAAGATGGGCATGCCGAAGGACTCGGACATCAGGTACTGCTCCACCGACTGCAGAGTCTGCGACATCGTGATCCCCGGGCACGCCGGTCAGGAGAAGAAGACGTATCGGCTCACACAGCTCAGCAACTCGCGATATTGTTTCAGGAAGTGTTCCACGATTATATGGGGTTTTGAACTAAAAAAGCCATCTTGAAGGCCTTTCAGTGTTGTTTACAATCTTACCCTTGTTAAGACTTAAGCCCCTTAAGAGATACACGTCCAAGAAAACGGGAGCAGGCACATCAGAGAGTATTTCAAGGTCACCTTGGCCTTCGTGGCATCATAATGATGTCATTCAAATTCTGCCATTCCATAAGCCATCGGCGATCAAGGCCAAGAAGAACATAATTGTCAAGGCGTTCATATCTGGCGTCGTGAGTGCGATTTTCTGATACAACAGCCGTCAATTGGCCCTCTATCAATGCTCCGCAAGGTACAATGACGTTATCAAACTATGACGCGTTGCGCAACATATTCACTCAACAGAAAATTTTCCTGTCTGAAGCAGTCACTTCCGCTTTAAAAAAATACCCACAGGTTTAAGTGAGCTTGTTTCATCATACCTGATGCTTGCTTCAATATCTTTAAATGTGAAGCATGCCCTTTGACAGAAACTCAGCTGAGTCGTTGCGGCATGACCAGCACCCCGAGCCCCATCTTCCGCCAGCCGTCATGAAGTGAACGTATCACACACTGTGTTGCATAATGGCCCACCACAAAGCCTATACACGTGCCTTCCGGACGTTCATTCAGCCTGGTGCAGGTAGTTCAAATATCTATCACAAGCATTATCACATACACAAAATTATAACAGTCCCTGTATGTGTGCAGACTCCAAGCAAAATAGGTAAAAGCACCTGACAGCATGGTTCGACCCTAAACCATGACTGACTGATTCACTGTGAGCTGAACCACTTTCCTGTCACATGTAGCGCGTGGGAAAACCCTTAGCGGCCAAAGCGTCTTGTCATGTCATTGGGGCTTCACGACACACGCAGCTACTGAGGCTACATGGCGCCGCCTGCCTCTCATCCTGGCAGAAAGGTCGGGCACCGCGGGAAATCGAACCCCGCACCTCTAGTTTCCCAGATGCGCAGTGGTTAACGCTGATGTGTTAACGCTGATGCGTTAACCACTACACTACCGGCATCCTCTATGTGCCCTCTGTGAATATTTAGCACGGAATGAGAAACACCACGAACAGCAAGCAAGACCACATGCTAATATGTAATACCTGGTATATATATATATATATATATATATATATATATATATATATATAATATGTATATATATACCAGACATGCCAGATTTGATAGAGTGATAGATGAGCACACCACAGCTCCCTGTCACATGCTCCCCACCTCACGGTGCTCCTTGGTTATCTGATGGAGTGCTTCTGGCATCAGTATCAGCAGTCCACCCGGGCCCTTCGCCAGGATGTTCTGCACGGACTCTAGCGTCAGCTTTCCAAGTCGTACTATAAGACACTGACGCGACGGCGTAGACGAGAGCTGAGTGGCTGCCTCCAGACTCAGCATGGATGAACGGCTTCCTGTAACATGAAACAGAGATGTCTTTGAAGAGATCAGGCTTGTTAAAAAAGTTTTGAACTACATTTTTTTTACCTATGGCTGAGCAGATGATTTTGATCATGACAAAGTAGTTTGTCAGCCACAACAAAGTGCTAATATCAGAAATATTGTGCCTTCTGAGCTTTGCCTTCCACTGCACATTGCGGATTTAAATGTTGTAATGAAATCATGTGGTACTCACTTCCTGCTGGGAAGTGAGTACCACATGATCAAAGGAATATAGTACCAAAATATCAAAGGAAAAAACAAAGCCTACAGTCTACAGAGAATGCTCTTAGAAAAAAGAAAGGCAAATAGTCAGTCAGAACATGGTGCAGCCTTCCAGGTATTTCATAAAAGGATGCCATTTTGGTAGCCCTAATCCATTTCAGAGGCCAAAGCTATAAGTAAGCCTCATTGCGTGCTCACACAATATAGGACCATATGCCACAGATGGTGCCAATCATTGTTTCTCACATGCCAGTCAGGTAAGGCCAGCAAGAGGCTCTTTTGGGTACAGGACAAGAAAATAATCATATTTAAGTTTTCTATATATTTCATAACCATATTCATTTCACTCTCTTGAACTTCATCTTCATCATATTTTCCTGAAGTCATTTCTGCACATGGCTGTTATCATTACTAGAAAGACCAAGAGTTAAGAGAATCTTGTCCAGTCTATCAGCAAACTCTCAACTTAAGCAAAATGGCTGAACAATATCATCAAAATTTAACTATATCTAACCACAGATACATGGTTCAAGCAGCTTTTCGCAAGCAGCATTTTGAGAGCTGCACTGCATGCTTTCCAGATGTTTCGTTTATATAAATGTGCTCAATTTATCAGAGCATTTCTGCAACATGGCCACAAACAAATCCATGTGAACCATGACTCATATGAGAAGGAAATTTATCATACCTGAATTAATTTCCTTAAGTTCTAAGACCTTTGGAAAAGATAGTTTGAAATGCATACTTCTATTCAGCACAGCACATAGAAAGAAACACATCAATATGTTCCAGGACAATTCTGAGCCCATGTGGTGCCTCCACTGTGGTGCCAGTTCACTCACTGTGTCTGCTATATTTCATACAATGATATAACCATCCTGAATAAGACACCACCAGGGTAACTATGTGCACTGCATAGGCTACAAAACATTAAGGGCAAGATGTTAAGAAAGTTAAATGCCATCTTGCAAGTCAAATAACTCACAAATAGGTGGTTAAGTAACATTGAAACAATTTCCTTTTTTGAAAACATGGAGTATTGTTAGAATGAGGGTAGTCCTCATTCACCACATACAATTACTAAAACTGCTAGCTATCAGCCAGCTTTAAAAAATCCATGTGAAATGTCATTTGCAAATGCAATACCTCCCAACCTCAGTACTATTTTTAGAAGAGAATGCCACATTTAGATACTAGTCTGCAAACTATGGAAATATGCCAAGACGATGTGTGGGCACACAAAATCCTGTCCTACATATAACAGCAACTTACACCATTAAGCACACACTTGATTAACCTTAGCCCAAACATCATGATAAGCCATCAGATTTGGTTATTTTCTGCAATCTCACCATGTTTGTATTGTTAACACATTATGATATGCTCAATAGTCCAATTCAATAATTTCTGCCCCAATACTTTTATACTTGCACACAACTTGCAAATGCACCCCTCTCTGGCCAAATGAGATCCTAACAAGCTCTGCCATAGTTTGCAGACTGTTTTATGTGATAACAACACAATGAATATCACACACATCAACTGAAATGCCCATCATCATAAATCACTTTTCATGGCAATTATCACAAAACTGGACCTCAACCACATCATAGTAACATGCCATCTATTTAGGCATTTATTGATTGCAGTTTTGCACATCCTCAGTAACACAATGAATCAGCATCTACTATAATTCTGATCGCATAGCCCGCTTCCATTCTGGTTGCCCCATGCAGCACGAACAGTCTTTTAGACAAGAGTGTATGTTAGCATGCTGACTGGAAAAAATTACAGTTGGCTTTATTTGTGCACCAATACTGCCTAGCCATAAAAGGATGTCTCTGTGATAGAAATTATTTCACAACTGATGACAGAATTTCCCTAACATAAAACTCACCGAATGAAGAACCTGACAGATCGAATTGCTGAAGCCTGAAGACCGGTATTTCGTGTGCGCCACGAACGGGCGACGTCACTAGGAGCAGGATAGGAACAAATGCAAAGAGTAACCAGTGGAATCTAAATGCTTCCAAGACATCATGAAGCTCCATTTCCACGATATCACCGAGTGCTGTGAATTATTGCTAAGTAGTGGGGTGGCTCAATGGGATACGTCCCTTCACCCCACCACAGCAATCACAACGTTGCCTGCTGAGTGATCGCTGTTTCGACGCGGCGAGGAAATAGTCACTTGCGATTCGCAAGTGCCGCAATTTGAGCTGCAAAATTTTCCCTACCATTCTCTGCTGTATCATGAGCTTAGTGCATATAAACAACACATTTAAATTATTGATCCCGATTCAACGAGAATTAAAAGACAAAAAATATTAAAGTTATCAAAATCTGTCGAATAACATCAGCGCGGCATGTGCTGTAAGAGCCGTGGTACAAACTTCTTTACAGTCCATAGCACCCAAATTAATCTGGTAGCTTTTCCACGAGAGGCAAAAGAAGCTGCTACAGAGAGAAGGGAATGCGTTGCAATATCGTGTGATTAGAGGTTTCTTTTGTGTGAGCAGCGCTTTGTGTAAAATAGTCGGCATAGGGGTTATCGGGTTTCTTTTTTCAAAGCGTCCCCTTATAAGATAGGGAAGACTGATTGAAGTCCTCGTGAAAGGTGAGAGAATAAAATGATTGTACCCCTGTTATGTGAAAGTCGATTTGTAGAACATCTTACTCTGCGGCGCATTGGTAGCGTCATGGGGGAATTACCTTGTATTTATGATTGCCTTTTTGCTGCTGTGTAGGCATAAATGGCATCTCTGAAATATTTGATAGAACTTCTCATGCTGTTGATGGTGCCATGATTTCTGAAGCACTTACACGGGTTGTTTCTCTTTTCTGCCTGTGTGCTTTGTTGCTGGGCTCCCTTTAGAGTGCAGCACATTGCATTTTCCAAGTTCTTTATGTGTTGGGTATAGGTATACATTGGTACCTAATGTTAAAAAGAGCATTGTACATCATTTGTTGGGTTTAATGTGGAACATATTGTAGATAATTATAAAACAGGTAGATTCATGCTCCTACCTTACAATTTTAATAATAAGGATAGCAAGGTCCTGATTGTGGCACACACTGCCACTTTGACCCCTCCCCCCCTCCCCCAGTGCTGTTTCTGTGGTACCATTACATGGTCACAATATTATGGCTCATCAAGAACCATAAACATGCATGGGGCCAAGGTTACAGTAACAATGCAATGAAATACATTACTGATGTGTAGGTATGTTTATAAAACAGCTGAGAAAAGTTCAGAACATAGCCTAAACTAGCCCAACCTAACCTAACCTGATCTAACCTAACCCAACCCAACCTAACCTAACCTAACCTGACCTAACCTAGCCTAACCTAACCTAACCTAACCTAACCTAACCTAACCTAACCTAACCTAACCTAACCTAACCTAACCTAACCTAACCTAACCTTCCCACCCTATCCCCTTCAACCCAGTGTCCCATTGGTGCCCATGTTCCATGCCATATACATGTAATGCATTAGCAATTTTTGTTTAGCCACCCAGTAATGTTGTGATCATGTGTAGCAATGGTGCCAGGGTCGCAGTTGCTGCATGTTTGCAGCTCTCTGATGTTTGCTATTGTAGTTGTTTCAGTTCCAAGCTAAGAATTTAGATAACCTGTTTAATTATTAATTACCATATGTTTTGCCTTAAAAAACAGTTGATGTACAATGCTCTTTTTTAACATTATGTAGCAGTGTTTACCATGGCCATGTATGGTACTTTAATGATGCTCTTAAAAAGGTCCAAAAAGTCTTACTAAGGAGAGTTTCCTATAGCATAGAAAGTTCTGACTAAGGCATGCAACTGATCAGCTATATAAGTCCAAAATTCCTGAACATGCTTGGTCTTGTGTTTTTCTACATCACACCACAAAGTTGTGCTTTAACACACTCATTACAAAAGTACCTTTGAATGGTACTGAGCTGTCCTTTGATGTATGTATTGGACAAGGTATAACTTAACTATGACACTGTAAATAAGAAGAAAATCAGTGAAAATGTACCAAGTAGGCAAAAAGAAATATGATATGCTCGAGTATGTACTGATTTTATCAGTGTTATTTGAGTAGGCATGATCTTATTTTTATGATGATAAAATGCACATTGGCTTGGAGGTACTTTCTCCTGGAACTATTGGTTGTATGATCCTAGGCTGTGCCATGCACACCAGGGGTGTAGTTAACAACTCAGTCAGGGGGGCTTCATCCCCACCCAGGTTGGGCTGCAGCCCCCTCCCCCTCCCTCCCCCAATAATTGGTCATTCTCTCTCTTGCTGTATATAGGAAGGATGACCTAAGTTGATAGGTTATTACCAAGCTGAGTTTTGTTATGTTGGCTCAAAATATCCCAGTGTCACCAACTTCTTCTTCACTTCACTCTTCTTCAACTTCACTCTGAGTCATATGTCTGTCCAACTGTGCCTTGAATATGCTTTTATGGCAGAGGGCATCTTGGTAGGTTCAGTACTTCAATAATTTATGGCTTCTTCCTGGGCATATCTGCACCTGTGCAAGTCTGCCAAGCAGGTATCTGATAAGACCGCAAGGATGTATTCCTAGGATGTGACCGTGTTTTTGTTCTTACAAGCATTTTCATTGGAGGCACTGGCATGCACCCCTTTTTGGAGTTGTGTGTGTTCATGATGGTTAGAGCATCTATTATACTGTCCTGAGTCATGTTGATGATGTCTTATGTCTGCAAAGATGGTCCTGGCTCTTTGTTCCTTTGCTCCTGTCCAGGGTGGACAGTGCCTATCCTACAGTGCAGCCTCCAGAGCCCCTTTGTTTGGTTTTGGTCAGGATGAGCAGTATCTGTAATCTTAATTCTGCCTCAGCCCTGCTCTTCCCCCTCCCCCCCCCCTCCCCCAGTGGTCTGCCACTGGCCAGATGTGGGTGTCAGTAACATAGCCTCAGCATCAGCCTCCTGTAATATGATCCCTGTCTCAGCCCCCCCCCCCCCCCCCCCCCCCCAGGGATCTGTCACGGGCAGGATGAGGGTGTCTGCAGTGCAGCCTCAGCCTCCTGTAATACTATCCCTGTCTCCATCCCCCAGGGATCTGTCACTATCAGGGATAAAGGTGCCTGTAATGTAGCTTCAGCATCCTGTAATATGATCCCTGTCTCATCCCTCCCCCAAGTTATCTGTCACTGCCAGCATCAGGGTGCCTGTAATGTAGCCTCAGCCTCCTGTAATACCATCCCTGTCTGAGTCCCCCAGGGAGCTGTCACTATCAGGGATAAGGGTGCCTGTAATGTAGCCTCAGCCTCCATAATATGATCACTGTGTCGGTCCCCCCAGGGATCTGTCGCTGGCAGGATAAGGGTGCCTGTAATGTAGCCTCGGCCTCCATAATATGATCGCTGTGTCAGTCCCCCGAGGGATCTGTCGCTGGCAGGATAAGGGTGCCTGTAATGTAGCCTCAGCCTCCAGAATACGATCGCTGTCTCAGTCCCCCAGGGATCTGTCACTGACAGGATAAGGGTGGCTGTGACACGGCCTCTTCCTCCGAGATTGCCTCGGCGACGGCCGGTGTGGGTGACGCGTCTGCTGGCCGCCAGATATGATCCCGATGTCTCGTCACCTGGGCCAAGGCAGTCAGCAGACGCGGCAGACGGAGCTGGACGAGATATGGGGCGACCTGCTGCGCGGCATCGAGCAGGTGTACAGTGGCCAGTCGATGGGCCGCGAGCGCTACCTCCAGCTCTACACCCTCGTCTACAACTACTGCACCAGCGTGCAGCAGCAGACGCAGCCGTCCAGTTCGCGCGCCTCGTCGGCCAAGTCCAAGAAGAGCAGCACGTGTCACAGTGGCGCGCAGATTGTCGGCCATGAACTCTACAAGCGACTCAGGGAGTTCTTCAAGGGGTACCTGATGAGGCTACTCAAGGTGAGCCTTCGGTGCGTTGTGTGGGCGTTCGCGCTGGATCCCGGTGCCCAACGAGTGCTTGCCGCCGCCCGGCTCGCTCCCCTCGGGCTGCACGCCGGGAGCTGGCGGCGGCCGGCCGTGATGGTGGGCTCCTGATCTCGCCAGAAGGGGCGTCCCGAGCCGATCCTGTCCCGCGTGAGGGGAGTGCAGGGTCGCCCGTGCTGACGCCGCCCCGTCCGCGGCCCGCGTCCGCAGGGCGGCAAGGAGCTGATGGATGAGCCGGTGCTGCAGTTCTACACAAAGAACTGGAGCGAGTACCAGTTCAGCTCCAACGTGCTGAACGGCGTGTGCGCCTACATCAACCGGCACTGGGTGCGGCGCGAGCTGGAGGAGGGCCGCAAGGACATCTACGAGGTGTATCAGCTGGCGCTAGACACGTGGCGCGAGCATCTCTTCAAGCCGCTACACAAACAGGTGGGTCGGCGAACCACCAGCAGGCACGTCGAACGTAGCCCTGGTGCGCGTGATTGGCAGCCACGTGCAGCCGGCCGCTGGTGGGGGCAGCCGGGCTCGCGGGCTGCTGTGCCGACGGTGGAGTTCTTTGTGATCGGTGGCTCTTTGTCGCGGTGCCAAGGCGCTTGGCAGGATGCGTTGCGCGGGCGGGTAGTGCGCCGCGCCGAGGAGAGGGGGGCTCTTGGAACGGCAGGCCGCGCTTTTTGTCCGGAAGCTATTTTTGTCCGACTGCCCGCAACCGCCGACGGAGTCTGACCGCTGCTGCAATGGATTCAGAATTTCCGTTAACCATTGGGAGCCCATTTTGTTCTGACTGGCATTTGTTTTAACGTATATCATGTGTGGTACTGTAAACCTTTTAAACGTCATTTCGTCCTTAATGGCTTATGTGATAATGCACATCGTGTGTTTTTCAGTGATGGTGCTTCAGAATGTATTGAGGCGTCACACATTCACGACACACCTTACCACCTTGCACCAAATCCCGCAGTGGGTCCCTTCTGTGCCTTCGGCAGCCCGGTGTCACAATGGGCACGCGCTGTGGCCCGCTGCGTGTCGCGTCAGTGTCTCTGACACACTAGTGACGCTCGCTCGGCCGCGGCCGTTTTCAGGTGACGAACGCCGTGTTGAAGCTCATCGAACGGGAGAGGAACGGAGAGACCATAAACACGCGGCTAGTTAGCGGCGTCATCAACAGCTACGTTGAGCTCGGTAAGAGCTCCGGGCGCTGCCTCGCGCCTCGTACCGGTCGGCAATCGGGACACGCATCGGTGCGCTGGGCCAAATTGCTACAAGCCAAGTGTCTCGGCACCTGCCTGCGTGTTGTAAATTACGTTGGAGCTCGCCGTGTTGGCGATGTTTCGGCGCTGCGCTGCGGGCGGTTCGCACACCATTCATATCAGCTCTGACGCGGGGTCACGCAGCGACTGACTTCGCCGTGCGTCGACTGTGCGCTGGCGTGCTGCGCATGAGACTCGGCTCAGGTCGGGTCGGGTCTGGGCGGGTCATAGAGTGCCGCGGCTGGATGACCGGCACCGGCCCGTCGCAGGTCTCAAGGACGAGGAGCCAGGCCCCAAGGGCATCAACCTGTCTGTGTACCGGGAGTCGTTCGAGAAGGTGTTCCTCGAGGACACGGAGCGCTACTACACCCGCGAGAGCACAGAGTTCATCAGCCAGAACCCCATCACCGAGTACCTGCGCAAGGTGAGTGGACCCGGGCGCCGGCAGCGTCCGACGGCGGCGGCCAGCGGCTGCTGTTCCGTGCCGCTAAACGACGCCAAATGGCCGGGACGCTTCATGATGCTTTTTGTGTGTTTGACGGCGCATGCTCAATTTAGCAAGCGACGTTTGAAATTTGAATGGCTCGCTTGATCGCCGGGTTGTGTGTGCATCCACTCTAACATCCAGCTCCGTTAATCTGCCACGCCAGACGCGTGTACGCTCAGCGTTCCATGAGGTAGCTGCTCGAGCTGTCCTTTTGTTGACATCTCCTGACCTCCCGCCAGCGTGGGGCTGCCTGACGCCCCCGCTACGTGGTGTCGTGACATCGTCTTTACACAGTGACCCCCTACGTCATCATCGGCACCCACGTCACTTCTCCTGGCATGCTGCTCATGACCTCCGTTGACGGGGAGCTACGGCTCTGCCCGGCCGGTGTCACGATCCTGCATCACGCGGTGTACCTGAGGTCCGGCCGCTGGTGCGGCCCCTACCTCGCCTCCCCATGGCCCCGGTCTCCCCTGATGCTTCCCGTCTCAGCGGTGCCCCCCATCGGTGCCTTTGTTCCCATGGTCCCAGCAGTGCCTCGCCGTGGCTCGAGTGGTGCTTCCCGTGGCTCCAGCAGTATCTCACCGTGGCTCCAGCGACGCCTCCCCTAATGCTCCCCGTCCCAGCGGTGCCTCCCAGCAGTGGCTGCCTGTGGTCCCAGCGGTGCCCGCCCCCCCCCCCCCCCGTAATGCTCCCCCGTCCCAGCGGCGCCTCCCAGCAGTGCCTCCCCGTGGTGTTTGCGCTGTCTGGCCGAGCTCGGCCGCTGACGCGCCGCGCCGGCCGGCCCGGCAGGCGGAGCTCCGGCTGCAGGAGGAGCAGCGCCGCGTCCAGCTCTACCTGCACGAGAGCACGCACGACAAGCTGGCCTCCAGCTGCGAGCGCGTGCTCATCCAGCGCCGGCTCGAGACGCTGCACGCCGAGTTCCAGAACCTGCTCAACGACGACAAAAACGACGACCTGGAGCGCATGTTCAACCTGGTGTCGCGGTGAGTAGTGTCCTGTGTTTTCGCTGGCTTTTAGCGTCATCTTGTTCTGTCACCCATACTTTCTGAGGATTAAGGTCGTGTGGCGTGTCCACCGAGACTTCTTTATATCACGCGACGTATAAAAAATCCGCTGGTCACCAGCACTGAAGATCCATTCCCGCAGAATCGCTGGTGGCGGGCACGACGAAGGGCGATGTTGTGCGGCGTGTGCTGGCGTTGGCCGCGTCTGCGTCTGACTGTGCGACCCCTGGTCCCCTTCCCAGGATACCGGACGGCCTGAGTGAGCTGAGGACCATACTGGAGAACCACATCGTCAACCAGGGCATCCAGGCCATCGAGAAGATCGGCGACGACGCCTCGAACGTGAGCCGCTCGTCCTCGTGTGCCGGACACTACTGCCCAGTCATGCCGCTGGCGGCTCTGGTTCCCCACAGCCTACTTTGGACATGATAGGAAAACGCTCCTAACACTGCCTCATCTTGAAAATGTCAGTTGTGTTCGCTTGTGACAGAAAGTAACCGTACATAGGAGTGAAAGTGTCGCCACGCGCTGCATTTCACTGTAAAATAATGACCTCACGTCAAAAATGCTCAGGCTGCGCATAGTTATGGGCCGAAATGTTCCTGGCGCACGTGTGATATCGCTCGGTTAGGAAGACGGTGACGCTACTTTGCGCTCATCTAGTTCGGTTGCCGTGATCACCGTTTTTGAGATGAACAGCCTTGCCTGGAGCGTCCTGTCGCTGTTTGAATGGGGTGTCAAGCTGGAATGGGGAGGGATGTCTGTTTCGCTTGCCGATATGGTCGGTTGCCGCAGCCTTCGTCCTTGTTCTGGGCAGGACCCCAAGGAGTACGTGCAGACGATATTGAACGTGCAGCGCAAGTACAATGAAATGGTGCAGGGCGCCTTCAAAAACGACGCGGGCTTCATCGCGGCGCTGGACAAGGCGTGCGGCAAGTTCATCAACAACAACCCCGTCACAAAGGACGCCAAGTCGTCGAAGAGCCCCGAGCTGTTAGCCAGGTGCGCGGTCGGCGATGCTCGGCCGCGGGTCGGCCGGCCGGGCGGACCGAGCGGACCGGGCGGCGCCGGCAGGTCTCTCTGGCAGGGGTGGGGCGCGCGGCCTGACCACTCAGAGGTCGTCCGCAGTAGAGATCCGACTGGAACGGCGTAATTGAGTAACGGCTGGCTAAACGGCTAAAATGAAAATGGCTGAAATGGCTAAAATGAAAAACGGCTGCAGTTCCGCAGAGCAGTTCAGTGGTGTGTCATGGTTCTGGAACGGCGGGTGCGCACTTCGTGTTGCAGGTACTGTTGTGTGTCGTGGTTCTGGAACGGCAGGCGCGCACGTTGTGTTTGTGTTGCAGGTACTGTGATCTGCTGCTGCGGAAGAGCAGCAAAAACCCGGAGGAGACAGAGCTCGAGGACATACTCAACCAAGTGGTGAGTCGGGAGCGGGGGCCATGGGTGGTGAGTCTGGAGCGGGGGCCGTCGGGGGTGAGTCGGGAGCGGGGGCCGTCGGTGGTGAGTCGGGAGCGGGGGCCGTCGGGGTGCGTCGGGAGCGGGGGGCCGTCGGTGGTGAGTCTGGAGCGGGGGCCGTCGGTGGTGAGTCTGGAGCGGGGGCCGTCGGGGGGTGAGTCTTCTGGAGCGGGGGCCGTCGGTGGTGAGTCTGAAGCGGGGGTCGTCGGGGGTGAGTCTTTTGGAGCGGGGGCCGTCGGTGGTGAGTCTGGAGCGGGGGTCGTCGGGGGTGAGTCTTTTGGAGCGGGGGGCCGTCGGTGGTGAGTCGGGAGCGGGGGCCATCAGTGGTGAGTCGGGAGCGGGGGGCCATCGGTGGTAGGTCGGGAGCGGGGGCCGTCGGGGGTGCGTCGGGAGCGGGGGCCGTCGGGGGTGCGTCGGGAGCGGGGGCCGTCGGGGTGCGTCGGGAGCGGGGGCCGTCGGGGGTGCGTCGGGAGCGGGGGCCGTCGGGGGTGAGTCTGGAGCGGGGGCCGTCGGTGGTGAGTCTGGAGCGGGGGCCGTCGGGGGTGAGTCTTCTGGAGCGGGGGCCGTCGGTGGTGAGTCTGAAGCGGGGGTCGTCGGGGGTGAGTCTTTTGGAGCGGGGGTCGTCGGTGGTGAGTCTGGAGCGGGGGTCGTCGGGGGTGAGTCTTTTGGAGCGGGGGCCGTCGGTGGTGAGTCGGGAGCGGGGGCCATCAGTGGTGAGTCGGGAGCGGGGGCCATCAACAATGAGTCGGGAGCGGGGGGGAGGGGAGGGGCTATGGGGTAGAGGCCGTAGGCAGTGACCCCAAAGCCGGGGTGTTATAGCATGAAAAATATCGACATCCCTGCCACCCAAGTGGCCGAATATTGGAACACTGTGACTCCGACCCTTGTCTCCAAAGGCTCCCGTCTGCTGATGTGCATGCGGACGTGACCTTGGAGCTGGGGGCAGGTTTTTCCCAGCGCGCGCCGGCAACAGGGCGTAACCACACAAAGGCGTTGATCGTCATCAGAAACCGCTGTTTGATATGTGTTGCGTATGGTGAACACCTTATGATGTCATTATTCCCTTTGCAGATGTTGAAATGGAATTTCTGAGTGCCCGCGACTTTGGTTGATTCATGATTGTCGTAGTTGGACAGAATCATGTAGCTCTTCTACTGAGGCGTTTTGCTGTCATCTACTGACACCGCAATACGTTTGAGAGTTAACCCCAACTTAAAGAACTCGCTTGTGGCGTCGAGCTCACCAGATAAGCTGACTCGGAAGAACACAAAACCGTCATCATTGAGTCACTTCCGCCGACGTGTTCACCAGTTCCTTGTGCATTCGTTCCGTTCGTACCCTACATCGTGCACACCGCCCTTGCAGATGATCGTCTTCAAGTATATTGAGGACAAGGATGTCTTTCAAACCTTCTACAGCAAGATGCTGGCTAAGCGTCTGGTGCAGCAAATGTCGGCCAGTGACGACGCCGAGGCCTCGATGATATCCAAGCTAAAGCAGGCCTGCGGCTACGAGTACACGTGCAAGCTGCAGCGCATGTTCCAAGTGAGTGTCCGCCGGTGGGCAGAGCTGGCGGTCTTGTGGGTGGCGAGGCTGTCTTGACGACGGTGGGCGCGTCGCCGCTGTCGCGCGCTTCCGGGCCTGCTGGACGGGCCGCGCGGCTCCGATCTCACCGCCGGCGGCCGTGCCGCCCGCAGGACGTGGGCATATCGAAGGGCCTGAACGACGACTTCCGGCGGCGTCACAGCAGCGCGGCCGACAGCAGCCAGGGCCTGGACCTGGACTTCAGCATCCAGGTGTGCTCGTCCGGCTCCTGGCCCTTCACGCAGTCGGCCACGTTCCTGCTCCCGCAGCAGGTCAGTATGCTCGGCCGGCCGGTGTCGCTCCGGTCCGGGCTGTCCTCCTCCGAGTGTTGGCGGAGATACCACCCGTCAGCGTGGTTTTTACAGTTCGAAAATTCAGTTTAGTTAAGTTCACAGCTCAGATTGTTGGCAGGAAGTGTTGCGCACAGTTTGGTCGCTGTAGAAATTCGCTGAATCTCTTTGTGATGGGTCGAAAAAGTGCGTAAAAGGGACATGGTACGAGGCTGATTGTTCCGTTAGCCACTATTTTTGCCTTGGTGTGCCCTCGAGTGCAATGCCATCAGCGCCATCTTGCAG